GTGTGTGTGTGTGGGGGGGGGTAGTAGCTTTCTATTGCTTTTTCTTGAGCTGAGAGTGGGAAGTTGACTGGCTTGGCCCCAGAATGTCCAGTAGATAATGCTGCTTCTAAATTCTGCCTCACCAGGGCCTGTGTTTAGGTGTTCCCAGATAGGAGGTATTCTGAAATAGAACTCAAAGTGAAGGCTGTAACAGGATCTCGGGGAGCACGATCAGACGTTATTACATGCACCCTGGTCTCAGACCACACTCTCAAGAGAAGAACCCAGAATAACTATCTGGTTGTTCAGAAAACTGTCATTACTCCAACCCTGAAATTAAAACAAGGTTGCCCCATCTCTTGGGTCAGTGAAGCTATTTCTGGAACGTGCCTGCCTTTTACATATGCATCAGAAAGCCCTGGATTCTGGTACCCAGTCTCCTCCTGGCTCATAGCAGCTTTTCTGTCTTGAGTAAAAATCTCTGGGAGCCATTTGGTCCCCTTATTTCATATTTATTGAATATTTCATGCTGTGCGTTCTCTGTTAAGATACCTCATTTCTCCCAAAATAGCACAGGTGAGATCACACAAAGAAACAAAGATTAAGAAGAGGATGAAAGAAGTTGACTGTCTTCCATGCCAGAATATAGCCACATGGTCATAGTGTCCCTTAATTTTCAGCCATTGATAACACTGTGACCATCATCACCACCTCCTCGAATGCTTACATCCCAATAGCACCAGGGGGTCCAGGTACTGCTCAGTATGCATTACTGACATTTCAAAGTCAAACTCATTCTCTTCCACAGTCCATTCTCATCTCTCGGAGATATACATAAAAGGGTAGTAGCAAGGCTCAGAAGGGCCCCTGGATCTTCTGAAAAAACTCTTCATATTTAAAACCACAGAGTTGAGTCATTTCCAAGCTCTTAACTCATCATAAAGAAATTTGATACATTTAGACTTGGAAATAATTTTCCTTTATAATACAATATGCTGGTTACATGATAACAGCTAATATGAAATATATATATATACATGCATATATATATACTTGCACACACACACAGAAGCATAAATGTTACAAGAAAATCCATTATCACTGTATGAATTACAAAAGGACATTACTTCTGGGCAAATAAATTAGAAATAGGCTTTCTTTCCTCTGGAAAGACACAGTCCAGGGATGGTATGGCAAATGGAACAAGAGATGGATTTTGGACTTCACTCACCCTTTCTAAACAGTCTAGTTCAGTAAATAACCCCTCCCACTATATAGAGCATGCCTGGACAAAAGTATAGATGGATATGGAGTAAGGATAGAGGTAGAGGTTGCTAGAACTAGAGTGATTATAAGTCATCAGAGGAAAGGAAAAAGTCTGGAAAACAAAAATTTCAAAAGAGAAATAACCACCAGTAATGTCACCTTGAGAAATAAGAAACTAAATCTTTGGTGTATTGCCTTCCATTTTTTTTCTTTTTGAGCTATTCATGCAAATAAAGAACACCAACCAACATGATATTGTCCTGTATGTGCTGTTTTATGGTCACTGCTTTATGCCTGTTATATCCTGCCTATTTTTGCATGTGAGCTAAGACACATTCCCAGCATCACTTGCAAGGGCATCTCAGCATTCTCTCAAACTGTCATGCATTTGGCCAATCCTGTGGTTGGAATTTCAGGTTAACTAGTTCTAATTCCTGTCTTAGTCACCTGCTTGCCATGAAAATCCATCTGGCTGGGAACAAAAGCAAAGGGAACATTAAGCCTAATAATTAGGATGGAGCTAACTGAGGAACAGCACAGGACAGGGAGAATATATCCAGAGCAAGCAAAGTCCTTGCAGCTTATTTCTGACTTGCAGGGAAGGTTTACCTGGTTTCCCTGGTCACCCTCTATCTGCCATTAGGCACATTCCTGGCTTTCACATGCATGGAGCCAGATGCCATTGTCAGAAGCTGTTGACAAGTGGCAGCTGGCTGAAACTGAGGCAGCTTGTTCTGCACCCCTCACCCTGCAGAGCATCCCCCTCCACCATAGTTTTTTCCCCAAAGCAGAGAGAGAACAGATAAGAACATGAGTTCCATTTGTGCCTGGGCACCATCTAATTCCTGCCAACAAATGCATTCCTTCCATACCTGTCCATCAGCTTGAGAGGAGTTAGGCTGGGACCAGGGGCTCACATTTCCTGAGCAAAGTCCTTTATCTTTCCTCAGGTAGAGCTGAAACCAGCTTGCTAAGAGATGAAATATGTTGTGAGCCTGGCTGTTGGAGCTGCACACTAACTAGTGTCCCAGAGGTCATACACCTCAGGGACTTCATTTTGGTAAGCTTGCTTTTTAGCTCATCTCAGGACAACACATTGGCATTGTGACCCACAGAAAGAAGGGGTGCCATGGAATTATAACAGGAGACTCTATATTTACCATAGGAAATCTGGTACCTAAACCATGCTGGATTCCAACCCTTCAGTATATCCAATTATTCAATCTCAAAGAACTTTATAGGAATGTCTTCTCTGACCAGATCCTATGATGAATTTTTATTCTAAAAATCATCCACGTTGGACATCCTATTTATGTTTTGAAGCAACAGGTGCTCTGAACACTCAAAAGGTAAGGATATGCACATAAAGAGAGAGAGAGAGAGAAGAAGAGTGGGAGAGAAAGAGGAACAAGGGGGGGGGGCAAGTCCTCATCACCGAGGGAGCAGCAGGATATTGCTTAAGGTAAATTATTTAATGATCTTTACAGTCTCCCCACTTTATTACTAACAAAAAAAAAGCTAGCATAAGAGAAACAACCATGACCTACAGCTGAGAGGTTTCAGTGGTGACATTATAAAGAAGACAGCCTGGGTCGCTGACTCTCTCTGATGACATCATGGTTGACACAGGACCTTGCCTTTCATAAGTTCTCCATGGTAGCTTTGCTCAGACACAGGCTCTGGCCTCTCGACTCAGAGATATCAAGCATTTAAAGGGCCCGGGGGGGGGGCAAAGTTAGAGATTCATGGACCTGCCACTGTGTCTGGAGCTTTCCTCTGACACTGCTGGGGAGACAGGCCCTGGTGAGTCAGAGTCCTTAGTGACATGGGAGAAAACATCTGCCAGGGATTGGCTACAGACAGAGACTGCGTCAAGCCTTGCCCTTGGCTGCCCAGATTTTTCTCCCCAACTTAACCAAATGACCCCATGATCCATTAGTCACTCTTCGTTGAGACCCACAGGGAGTCATCAGGACTTCATGAGCCACATAATTACAATGAAAAGTCTGCACTGACTTCAGTGATTCAAGTGAGTTAGACAAAATGTTCCCCAGACATCTGACCGTGGCTTCATTATCAGAGAGCTCGGCTGAGAGTTACCCCTGTTAACTCCAGTCACAGGCTGCTCAGAGGCAGCATTTGTTCTTCAATCCTTTCAAGAAGTCATTTCAAGATGGCGCCTCTCAGACCCAGTCATCAGCAAAAAGAAAAAGTCTAACAAAAACCCTTCCAAGTGTTGAGTGTCTAATGAGGAGAATCTGAATGGTAGTCACAAAATCAGGGACATTACTGTCCAATGCAGAGAACAGTCCAACAGGCACTGTCCTTTCTTACACCTGTTGGGGAAACACAACTGCACTTTCCACTGTTGGAGCTCCGAGTGAGTTTCTACTGTTAAAAGGAGGTGGCAGTAGCAAGGCCCATGAGCATCAGTCTTCTAACCAAAATGGTTTGCCCACACACAGAGAAAATACTTTCGTTTCACCTCCCGGGATCAAATAAAGAGTCTCTCAAATAGCATGTTGAATGTCCATCTTTCTCTAAAACCAGAGCAAAAAAGTTAGAAAGACAAAACTAGAAGTAGAAAGATGGCATTAAACCATCAAACCTTTGGAGAAAACAGATGCTTTCAAAAGTGTTTATCTAGTCATTCATTTCTCAACCAAGTCAGGGTTTTCCTGAGCCAGATGCTAATCTGGACATGAGTACAGGATCTCTGATTTTGCGAGCATCTTATCTCAGCATCTGGCGGAGTACCTGATACCTAGACTCATGAGAATGAATGGATAGATGGACAGGTGAGTGGATGAAAGAATGAATAAAGCAGATCTTCATAGTTGGGGTCAAGTCAAAGTTTAAGTTGAGAGCAGGCAGAGACATAGGACAATATTAGGAAGTTCAGCATCATTACTTGGCTTCTGTGGAGCCCTAATAAGATAGAACCCACTTTAACCTCAAAATGTATCAAAAATTTTAAAAATGCCTATAATCCCTGACCTAGTCATCCCATTTCCAGGATTCTATTTCGTAGAAATAATCTAATATGTAAAGAGAGGAGAAGTATACTTTTAAAAATATTTCTGTCAGCATTGAAAATTAACTAAATGTATCCTAGAATGACAGTGAAACTAAAAATCATTTAAATGAGGAATTAGTATGTAGTTATTGAATAGTTAAAAGAAACAGGTATATGATAGTGTGTAAAACTTTAATAAAAGTACTTTAAATAATATTCTAATAAAGCATAAACATATAAAGGGAAACAGGTGCAAAATACTAGCAATAATTGTCTTTGGGACATGATTGTGGACAATTATTTTTATGTTATGTTGCAAAAAATTTCTAAATTTTTTTCAGTTAACATTTGTAATTGAGGGATGAAAGTAAGCATAATTATTAATATATACATTTAAATATATTCAAGGATAAAATAAATATAAAACAAATAAATATTTACACATACAAATTTAAAACAAAAAGTGCCCCAACCACTGCCTTGCTAAGAATGAAGTTGGCTATATAGGAGATTCTAAGAATTGACCCTTTCTGTGTTCTTCTATCCTGTCAGCTTAATAACTATTTTAACCAACCATTTGGACATTGTTTCACAGTGTTCTCTGATCCCTCCATTTTGCACGGAGGGTGGGTCTGGCAAAAGTAATTACTTACATTGTCTCTTGGTGACAGGATCACAGAACCCAGGCAATGGAAGCTCACTTTTATCCCTTTGTGACTGAAGGGCTTTTATTTGGAATCATCAGAAGTAAAGACTGACTTTTGAGAGACAGAGGTATTCATGGAGGATAACAGAGCTGGGGGAGTTGTTATAGCATCACATGTGGTTATGAGACACTTGTATTGGCGGCAGATGGTTACAGTTTCTTGGTAAGCTGCTCTTCACCAAAATCTACACTTGCCATTCTCAGTGAGTACCTGGCCCTTTTAGCCTCAGGACAATGCGTCAACCTGGCTTCCCTGGTCCAGAGCGTGTCCAGGCAGCAGTGATGTAATGGCAACCACCCTTCACTGACATGACCCATTCAACCTTAATTAACTCTCCAATGAGTGGGCCACAACTCTAAATTCTTTATTCTGCCTCATTTGGACATCTGTGATAAATTGAATGAAATCAAGACAGCAGTACACTGATTATCAAGATCAAGAAAAATAAGGAAAGACTGACAAGCTATCACAGACCAGAGCAAGGGAGACATGAGGATTAATGTGGTCTCTGATTGAGATCTCAGAGCAGAGAGGATATTAAGGTAAAACCAGTGACCTCCAAATACAGTCTGGAGTTTAATTAATAGTAATGCACAAATGTCAGTGTCTTGGTTTTGACAAACGTGCTGTAGTAATTAAAGACCATAATGGGGGAAACTGGACAAGGGCTATGTGGAAACTCTCTGTACTCTTTTTGGAACTTTTCTGCAAATCTGAAGTTATTCCAGAATAAAATGTTTATTCCAGAATAAAATTAAGGCCTCCAGAGATGAGGAGGATTTTTATAAGGATCCCTCATGTCAGGATTATCTTGGTAAAATATAAGAAAGACTCTTGGAATTAGAGTGAGATGATCTGACTCAAAACTCCCTATAATTTTCAATGGGAATCTGGTAATTCTCTTAAATTCAGACAACTGCAGTTCCTCATCAGTAAAATGTGAATAACAACACCTGTCTGATAGACTTATTAGTAAGTATCATAGCATCAGCACAGGAGCTAGTTAGTTAGCTAGCTAGTTAGCTTGCTTCTATGTTTCAACTGTGCAGCACAGCTATCTGATACATACTCATTGCTATATGTGTGAACATAGGAAGAATTCAAAATGGCATCGGACTTCTATATGTTGTTGCTGTTAATAGCAACATCAAAACTGTCTATATCCTGGGCCTCCTTGGTGGCTCAGTGGGTTGAGTGCGGCACTGTGAAGCTGTCCGCAGCCTCTGCAATGCGGGTTCGATCCCCGGCCAGCCAGGGAGATATCCACATAGCAGGGCAGACCTCTCCTTTCGGGCCTGCTGCTCCCCTCAGCAGTATATTTCAGTTGTCTGCCTGTTCTGTTCCCCGCTCTGTCTCCGGTGGATCCTCTCACCCTCCCATGCCTCTGGCCTATACTCCAGCTCTTGTATAAATCTTTTTAAAAAAAACTATCCTATTGAAACCAGATTGGAACATGGGGAAAGGATAAGCATTATGATATATGAAAATGGAATACCACAAGCAGTTAAACTAGATTGATGTATCACCATGACTAGAGTTGTATGTAACGTATAAGTTATGAACAAAAGCTACAGTATGATCATGTAATGGTTGCAAATACACAAAAGGTTGCTGTATACAGTTTATAGATACTTATTTACAGAGAGAAACATGAACCAGAGAGGTTCAATAACTGGGGATCAGCTTTGTCCATCCTGTTTGAGACATGGACAAATCATAGACCCAAAGAACCTCTGGCTTCAGAACAATACCACTCCTGACAAGTCCATCAAGGATTGAGATTAGCTGTCCTATTAGTCATATTATCTGTTGCCATGTTATTTAATTACTAAGGAAAACAGGAGGAAGCCTAAATTAACATAGCATGATTTAGGAAAATCTGGCATGGGATAACTGGATATAAATTACACGCATGTATTTGGTTGGCACAATGGTTCTCAAAGTGTGGTTCCTGGGCCAGCTGCATCAACATCATCCAGGGACTTGATATAAATGCAAACTCAAAGATCTTGCCCCAGGCCTGTGGAATTCTGAACTTGGAGAATGCGGCCTAGCAATAGGTGTTTCAACAAGCCTCATAGATGATTCTGATACTTACTCCTGAGGAGAACCACTGGATTAGCAGCATCAGCCAAGATGGGTTCTTGTCCTCTGGATCTTCAGTAAGCCCCTTTATCTCTGATTTAGGTTTTTCATCTCTTAAAATATGGATCAGATCCAGATGACCTCTCAATTCTTTAATAATTCTACAAGTTTATGACCCCACATAAACTTACAAGATTACAAGACTTACTTTTAATATATAGTTTGTCATTTTGGAACAGGTAAGGACAGAGGACACTGGCTGGCTTTACTTCTTACCATGCTGTTGCTATCACTCAGAAATCATCCATGGCCCAGTTTTTCCCAGTGCTCCTCTAGTATTGAGACTGTAAAAGCTAAAACACGTTCCCTGTGACTCCCTTGCAGGTAGGTACACCCGCGTGAAACAGTTCTCACCAATGAGACACAAGTGAAAGGGTGGAGATTCCTAACCATAAACCATGATGTGAAGGGAAGGAGGCACTTCCCAGGAACCACTTCTGGGTAGCAGCTTTCTTACAAACTTGAAGGTGAAAGTCACTAGGGAAGGAAGGAGGCCCCAGAAGACAGAGGGTACCTGGGACTTTGGGGCTGTGCTGTAATAGCTGCATCAGTGCTATTCTGCCTCCTGCATACTCAAAAGTTCCCTCTTCTTTAAACCACAGAATGAGCAGTCTGTTCTTGCAGCTGGACACTTTCCCTACTGATGTACCCCCAGATGCCCAACACACACTGAGCTTTAAGGAATGCCTGTGGATGACAAAAGGGAAGTAGAAAGAGGGAGGAAGATGAGGAAATAGAGGAGGAATGGAGAAGTAGGACAAAGAGGGTTACTGAGGACAGGACACCTAAAAGTAGCAAGAATTGAGCAAATTTGTAAAGCAAGAAAAGGCCTGGAATAGAGGAAAAGAAGGTATGCCAAATTTGTGTTTATACAAGAAACTTTATGATATCCATTAAAACATGGGTTTGATGTACTGGGTATACATATTTATTGCACATTAAAATGAATACATGACTATTAAATCTTTTTAAAAAATTGGTCCATGAGCTACCAAGTATCATCTTGTGAACCAGCGGAGGCTGGCCTGACCTCATTAGCAGTGCTGACTTGTGCAGATTCCTGGCCAGAGTATTTGCAGCTTTAGGTCTAAAGTAGCAAAACCTGGCATCTAAGATTGGAATCCAAGATTGCCTGAACTTCCCAGGAACCAGCACTTCTGTACCAGCCTAAAGCTCTTTATGCTTATTCTCTTCATTTTCCTAAGGTGAACCAAATTTCTTGGCTAATCCCAAATATACAAGGGAATACAGATACAGCAATCACAAAGAGGGAAGAGAGGTCCCTCTTTGGAAAGGGTCCTATCATCTCTGATCATCCAGGACAATTATTTTATAACCATAGCAGGGTTGCACGTTTTAATGTGCATTTGCTGTATGTTGAGATATTGTACTACATCAAGACACTTTTTTTTTTTTAAATGTCTTTTGGTGTTCTTCAAATTTTCATTTTCAATCCATTCCATTCTTTCTTGTGTTGCTCCACATCTTTTCTCTTTTCAACCAACCTTTGCAGCAGAGGCACAGGCAGCTCTGCCCTGCCTGTTACATGCCACCAGCCAAGATGACAGACCAATAGGAGATATGATCTGCCTCTCAGCCTCCTCTTCTGCTCCTAATCCTAAGAGAAGTTTTGGTATTTCTGCCCATAGGTAGGAGTTTTCTGTCCCTCCTCATTGCCTTCCCCAGCTCTTACCCCTCAGAATAATGAGACACATCAAGCCTAACATGGCTTCATAGTGCTGATTAATGGCACCTCTGAAGGGCACCTTCATAGCCCTGGCCCAACTTCTTGGAATCTTGAATAGTGAGCCCAATTTTGCCACCTCCCCATTAATGCAGAGTCTGTGTGTCTACCACCATGCTTGCTGAATTTCATCATCTATGCATGGGGCCATGGGAGTCAGATTGTCAGTGGTCTCCATGGAGAAGGCCAGAGGTCACAAGAGAAGCCACCAAGAGACAGGCCAGTGTATCAAAGGATGCTCAAGTTTGACAGGGAGCACTTTCTCAAAATGGGAGCAAAAAACATCTCTACAGTAGGAGCTAGATCAAGGCAGAGGGCTGAGTGGGGAGGGCAAGAATGACATCTGTGTCAACTGTTTATTTTGGTGATTGTCTGCAAGTTGCAGGCAACATGGCTGAGCAAAGCTGTCATGGACACACGACTTCATCGCAGATGACAAGTTGGCACAAAGACAATGTAGGTGGAAGAGAAGTATGGGAAACAAAACTACCTGTCATGCAGGCAGAGGGAGGAAGAAAATCTAGCTTCGAATATTTGCCCGTAATTAAATGTCAGATGTACACAATGCAGTAAAATAATTAGCATGGCATAATTACTGTTCAGATGGAGTCCCATGTATATGCCAAACAAATTGCTGTACTAGAGCACAAGCTGTTAAAACAAATTGAGTTACTTAATTTTTACATGTAGCAGCCTGTTTTATCATTTCCTAGGATGCAACTATTTCATTAATAATGCAGTTACTCTAAATGTGTGTAGCTTGGGACCGCTGCAGAGGCAGAGTTGCTGGTCTCCCTCTAGAGACTTGGCAGACAAAAATCAACTGATTTCCCTCTTTCCATGCTTGACCCCACTTATCTTTTCTGTACCTCATAGTCAAGGGGACATTTAAAAGCCAGATCATGTCACATAACTGCTTCTAGGACTTTCAATGGCATCTATTGATCTTATGGAGTAAAATCCAAACAGGAGTGGAGTCCCATGTTTCTACAACCATCTAGAGCCTCTAGCCTTCACTGTGCTCCAGTTACTGGTTCAACTTTCCTTTGACTCCAGATTGTCTCCAGATTGGCTGCTCCCTTTGCTCAGAAAACTCCTCAGACTCCTGTCCTTCTCTCCCCCACCCCTCCTTCATAGGCCTTGGTTTAAATTTTGCATCTTTGGTGATACCTTTCCTCATTATCCTACGAGAAGCAGCTGGTCCCAGCTGATGTCCATGAGAGCTCTTGCATTGCTCACTTCATAGCAGGGACCACACTTATCCTAAAACTTTCTAGATCAGTTTGTGTTTTTAATTGTTTAATAACTGCCTCTTCCACAAGACTCAAAGCATCAGAAGAGTAGAGCTCATACCTGTTTTGCTCACCCCAATATGTCAGTGCCCAAGAAAACTACTGGCCTATAATAGCTGCTCATATAATATTGTACATGTTGGTTATGTGTCACCCAGGCATGCCCTTTTCCCTCCACTGTGTTTGTTCTTTCCTTCACAGAATGAGAGCATGGACAAGAGCGGCATTCTCTGGACATGTGGGTGGTTGCCTATTCTTGGGTTTATGAGACCAATCAGCTTGCAGAACATAAAATAGCATGGAAACTACCACAAGCATAAAGACAATCCAATGATTGGATTAACAGTAAATGCTGCTTCAAGACACCCTCCTTTCAGTATTTACATACTTACATGCATTTGTTTATTAGGTCATGATGTAAAGAATCTCTATTTCTTTCTTTGGGACACAGACAAAAAGTGTCAGAAAGTCTTAAAAAACATTAGAAGCTGGGAAAGGATTGATGTGGACAACCTCTAGAATCCTTAAGCCAGCTGCCAGACTTGGCCTTCTTGACTCTCTCTCCCCACTCCCCCTGAGCCATGGAGTGCAGGTTGGGAAGGTCTTTCTACATGGAGTCCATGCTCTTCTGCCCCTGAGGTTGAGAAGAGATTTCAGACAATGGATTCTGCCCCAGGGAAAGTGCACCCCAGTCAGTGAGGCCTTCACCAACTTCACTTAATGGAGTGGGTGGCTGTGTCCTGAACAGGAAAGACAAACGTGTTCTTCTCAGTCCTATGCCCTCCCAGGACAGACTCCTGAGCATGAGGAATGGTCAGAATGCCAGGCAGGGAGAAACAGACGTGGAGGTGACTCTCAAGTTCCCTAACACATGGGGAGGAGTCAGGCTGAACATCACAATCAGAACCCAGCCCGGAGGGGCAGAAGCATTTTTCAAGGGTGGCCAACTTCTCGGGAGCTACCACTGACTAGGAAACACTATGAGATCGAACCATCAGGGATGACCAGAAAGACTCCTAAATAACAGGGAGTCAGTGGGCATGGCTTCTTGTCTGTATTTGCTCCTTTTCCCAAAGCTCCATCCCAAACCCATGCTGCCAAGCTACATCTGCTCCCTGACACAGGCTTCCTGCAGGCAAAGCCTGCTGCCTCTCTGCTCTGGCTAGTGTGGGGGAGTTACCGCCTCAAGTTCACCCTAAACTCTCTTATGCCCCTGGACTATCTATGAGTACCTTCATTCCCAAGATGACATCAAAGAGCAGTCCCATCTGGGCTCACACTGGACCATGCATCAATAATGCTCTGGAGGGAACTGCTAATGGGACCATCTTGGAGGTTGACAGTGGTGACCCTTGGCCTCTCCTTTCCAACTCCTAAAACAAACCTAACTATGTGTGGCCTTGGGCTCAGCTCTCCATCTGGACAGTGGCTATTCTTCTGGCTAGAAGGACGTTCTGTGTGTGTGTGTGTGTTTACACAGATACATGTATATGTACACACAAATATATGTATATATGTATATACATATATGTACTGACTTACATATAGCATATATTTTACATATATATAAATGAGAATTGAGTCATTACAGCCCATATCTTGGTCCTGGGGATCCAAGACCCACTTCTGTTTTTAGGTGTCTGTATCTCAAGTCTAGACCACCCTCTTTGTCTCTTACCCAGAAAGCACCACTAAAGAACATGATTATTCATGATTTCATAGTTCCTGGCTTCCTGGTAGTTTCTCTTGTGAGGGCTGCAGGAGATTTAATGGATTTCAGATGATTGGGCCTTCAAAGTACAGGGGCCAAATTCACCTTACTTAGCCCTATGGACAGGGAAGAAACTTAATTGGACAACACTTGCTGATTAGATTAATGAATCTTCTCTCATTCCCTTTTTCTCTCTCTCTTTCACACACACACACACACACACACACACACACACTACACACTACACACTGCAAACAGCCTGCTTCAAACTGGGAGGCAGAAGGGTATCTATTTCTGGCAAGCTCTGCAAGGAGGCCTCAGGGGGCTGGTAACATAGCCCCCCTTCTCCAATCCATTCAATTCTCTCCACTCATTAGCCCACCCTGGATCTCAGACCACCCTCTCTGCTCAGATCCTGGATAGGATACCCTCCTGTCAGGGGGTTTCCTGGCTCACTTCACCCTACCCACATCTCCCAAACAGCCCCTAGCAGAAGTAGCTCTGTCTTCAGGAGCCCTGGGGAGTGTCAGCACTGAATCCATTTCTACTGCATCCCCTGGGCCCTCGCAACCCCATAAATGGAGACCTCATATCCTTCCCTTGCTCCCCTGCAGAAGGCTAGGCTGACCACTAGTTCCCACTTGCCCAAGACTGAGAGGGTGGCCAGGATGTGGGGCTTTCAGTGTCTGACAGGGAGCTTTTGGGAAAAGCAGGATGAGGTGGTCCCACCTCAGAAACCTAACATCTTTCTTGCCCTTGCAAGTCCCTAGCCTTTCCCTACTCCCTAGGTCTCCTGAGCCCATTCCTCACTTGTCTCTGATTTATGGGTTTCTACTCGTTATTTGCTCGTTATGGAGAATTAATGGAAGAGTGAGTGCAGGCCACATGAGAACAAAGGCTCCAGACAGATGCCAGGTTTGGACTCGTGGCTCCACATGGCTGTGGGCCAATTATATAACTGCCCTAAGCCTCAGTTTCCTCCTCTGGGAAACAGGTCTATCATTAGTTGTATCTACCTTAGATGATGCTCTCCCTTATCTGGTTTGCACATTCATTCCCCAGCTTTGATGAAGCTTGGGTGCTAATAGTTCCAAGATGCCCTTGGAATATGGGAGTCAGTCTCCAACAAATGGATGGGAATTCACGCAACCCCCTACCCCCTGCATAAATGACAGCAATGACTGAGAAGAGAACAGGAGCCCAGTCCTCTGGCCCAAGGGAGAACAGATCCCTGGGTCCATTCACATACCAGCTTCTCCAAGGTTTCAGGTTGAGACTAAACTTTTTCTGCAGCACCCTCTCTGTTTGGCTTCCTCCCAGTCCTACCCTGCTTCCCTTACATTGTTAAGGTTTTCTCCTTGAGCATTTCTTTCACAAATTCCTGGCAAAAGAATTGCTAGCTCAGCTCTATTTCTAGGGAGCATGTGCTAAGATACTTCCCGCTCAGAACTGCAGAAAGACTAAATAAGAGTGTGCACATGAGATGCTTATGTGACAGCCTGGCACACTGTAAGTTCCCATATCAGGGCTGCTCTGTCCTGAGCCCAGAGCTCGTCCTCCCTCCCTGTGGCACACACTTGCAATCCAATGCCCTGGTGGCTTGACACACTTGCATGGATACACCTGGGATGTGACAAATGCTGGGTGTCCCTGCCATTATGTATCACTGACTTGGAAGTCAAGAGAGTGCTTCAGGAAGGAAATGGCCACATGTGACATTCCCCCATTACTGGGGAACTGGTTTTAATTTTTTTTAAAGATTTATTTATTTATTTATACAAGCACTGGGTACAGTCAGAAGCACAGGAGGGTGAGAGAATTCACCGGAGCCAGAGCGGGGAGCAGAACAGGCAGACTGACGAAGTACACTGCTGAGGGGAGCAGCAGGCACGGCAGGAGAGGTCTGAGTGGAAATGGTTTTAATTTTTAAAGTAACCATTTAAAAGTTGCAGCGGTATTCTAAGTAGCAGGTTTCTCCTCTAGACTGATGGAAGTTGAGAATCACTGCCTAAATCTAGCCCCCTCATTGTTCCAGCCCTGTCTGGAAACTTCCCCACAGTCCTTTTATTTTCTGTTTCCCAAAGAGATCACATACAGAAGTCTTCTATCATTTTTCACTGGTAAACCCTGTCTCAAATACTGGGGAGAAGAATGAAGAAAACTTCTCCCTTCTCCTTTGGGAGAAGAAGAAGAAAACTTCTCCCTGGCACTAGTGGTTTCTTTCTGGATTCTTCTGCCCAGGGTGATGAGGGCAATGACCAGGAATGTGAACACTTGGATGAAAACCCCAAGTTGTAGGAAGCTTTTCCTATATCTCTGGCTCTATGCCAGAGAGAGAATGGGAGAATGACAGAAGAAGTAGTGGCTGTAGTCCTTGTCCCTGTGAAACACAGGCCAAGCAAAAGGATCCAAGAATCACCAAACACTTATGAAAGAGAAAAACAATGATGAACAAGATCCACTCTTTATCGAGTACTTACTACCTATGAGGTGTTTTGCTAACGGATTTGCAGGTCTGATGTTACTGGAGCCTTGCAGCATTTCTGTTCTCTTCTCCTCACCTCCCAGAGGGGTATCTGAGATGGTGAGAGGTCAGGGAGCTTGCCCAAGGACACAGCAAGTCAGTAAGAACAGGACTCCTCCCAGCTGATTCTGGGCCCACACCTCAGCTTCTACACTCAATAATTCCTGGTACCAGCCTGGCCCCCAGGATCTTCCAAATGCAGGTATAAGGATCAGAACTGTAGCAGAGGTGGAGTGAATAAAATACACTAGAAAATAGTGAGTGATGCGGACAGAATAAGGCACTGACAACATGATACAGTGCCAAGTTGTGAGGCCGATGTAAGCGTGCGTGGGAAAAGTAAGAACTCTTTTTCCATGCCTGTTGTCAGCAGCTAGTAACCCCATCATCCCTGCCAAAAAAACAAAGAATGCTAAGAGGCAAGGCGATCTATCTGCCGGCATCCCAGGGACCTGCTCTGTGCCAAATACCCTCCCGAGCAAATATTGATATATTAACCGCAGCTCAAACACTCTGAGTGCTGGGAGCATGCCTCAGCGGGGAGGGGTGGGGCTGGCCTGCTGCCACCCTGCGCCCCCCCCCCCCACCAGCCTTCCTCGGAGGCAGAAACAGGCTCTCCTTCCTGCTGGAAGAAACCGGAGGGCTCTTGACCAGGACTGGCTGGGAGGCAAGAATCCCGGGGATGCTAACCAACCTGTGATGATGGGCAAGTGGCACAGGCAGGCTGGGGATGGAGCCAAAGTCTGTTTATAAAGAGCTCCAGGGACTGCCATCACCTCCTCATCAGCCTTCGGGATGTGCAGATGAAGCCAGGAGCAGGGACCTGGGGACCGGACCAAGGATTTCAAGAGAAATTATAATGATGCCAACAATCTAAGCAGAGCCCCACCATTGAGTTCTGCTCAGTTATGGATGACAGGCCTCTTATTTATATTTGCATATACAGTAATACAAACCAGAAACCTGCTTCACTTCCTTCTCCCAATATTCCCTCCATCGCTGAAGGAAAGACTGGAATTCAGCTTCTCAGATTCAAAAGAGCAATGTTTAATGAATTAGATTAGAACTAGAAGGGAGACAGAAAGC